TCGGTATTGGTGCAACACTAATTAGAACCAACGATGTTCCTGGGCAGTCCTCAACAACTTGTGATAGTAACATACAAGTACCACAGGGGGGCAATGTTTGCTAACGAATCCAAGCCATTAGCATGGGAAGTCCCATCCTTACACACACATCATAGTTGTCTTATACAGTCATTTTGAACTGAAAGACAAATGTGATTACCGGTAGGTCTGGAGGTAACCAGGCAGCGTTAAAATTACAGATTTTCGTTGGTCTTCGTTGTTCTAAATTTACCTTGAAATATATGATACTGGTTGCCTACTTCCACTTAGCCTGCCTCAAATCAAATTTCGCTATGATGGCAGAACAGTTTCCATTAATTTTTTTTAAAACTTTGTTTCGCAAGTCAGTTTGCCCAAGATTCCATTCTGTGTCTTTTTTTTTTTTTTTTATTGCCGTTTAGAAAAATTGCAGCTGCTGGAAGATCTCTGATTAATGTTCTGCATACCATTATGGTAACTGTACTTTTTCAATAAATGAACCTAGTATTTTATAGATTCAAAGAGACACAAAATCTGTTTATTCATTCCACTGGTAGACTGTTTTGATCAAATAGAAATAGAGGCCTGCCTCTTATTCTGGCCTCCTTCCCATTATGGCCTGGACCAAGATGCACCTGAGTGAAATAAAAGCCCCGGCCTATATTAGAGGATTTACGATATATCCACTATATGTAGATTTAAAATGACATTAACCCAAGATTATGACAGCTCAGCAAACCAAAAAGGGAATCTAAACTTTACAGAGTAAAAATAACTTATTTTGACATCAAAGTCTGAAGAAAATGTTCGTTACTCACACCATAAATGTAAACAAATAAACCCTTCTTCAAAACAAAGATCTAAACTGATAAATGAGTCCAGCAGCCATACTTGCAGAGCTCTGGGTCCCAGTCCATTGTGTGAATATTAAACAGCATGGTTCTGCTGGCATTAGTCACATCGGTGCAGTGGACGCCTCCTGACTTCCCCCCTGTCAGACACTAAGAGGAAGAAGACATTAAAAATCCATTTTATATTTTTCACTAAGATCTAGAGAAAAGCAACAATGCAGGAACTCTTGGTGCACCCAAATGAGCCAGGAATCAACGGTGCCGAACATGGCGCGATGGGACACCACGGCCTGGTGGACCTGCTCCACGTTGTCCATCAGCCAGCGAAGCTTCACGGCGCTAAAATAAGTGCTGATTGGTAGACCTGTTTTATGCTGGAGAGGAGACAGTTCCCATCAGTTCATACCCAGGAAAAAAAAAACGAAACAAATGTAGGATTGAAAGATTTATGACTCAGTCTTACTCGTAAATGATTCTTATTTCTTCCAGGAGTTTTATTAATGAGACGCTCAACCGTTGACTGAGTTCTCAGGTCCAGCCACACTGAAGGACAGCAAAGCTATTGTTTGGAATATGAACTTAAAAACGAATTACATCATTAAAAGATATGAAGGTTACATTCTGCTGCAAAATGCTTTTTATGCAAACAGTGAAATCCAGGTCTGGCATCATGCTGCTAAAAGCTTTTTTATTCTATAAGTTTAATTCATTCAAATAAACTTCTAGAAGAACGTATTTGAAATAAAGAATCTTAATGGGATGAAAGCAACATATTAATGTTTCTNACTGTCTTCCATTGGTTTAAATAGAATGCTGAACATCCTCCATCCACAGAGTGAACATCTGTACCAATGGCGTTATAGAGAGGCTCTCCGGTCTCCTTATCCCATACCAGCGTGGTCTCCCTCTGGTTGGTCACTCCGATAGCTACAGGAAATGAAAACAGCTGCAATGATTTCCATGGTTAAAAAAACAGATTCTGAAAGATATTTAGAAACAAGACTGAACCGTTCAACACAATTCAGATGTTTATTGTACCTCCATAGAACATATGGCATAGAACATATTCTAAATGACTCTTGGTTTCAAAAAAAAAAAAAAAAAAAGATTGATTTGGGAACTTATGTGTCTTACATTGTTGATTCTGTAAAATTTTGCTTCCCTTTTTATCTACAGCCCCTCATCAACCTTTGCCTGACCCTGGCAGTTCCAGTGATGTGGAAGACCTTCTGTCTCATTCCAATACCAACGCAGAGTCAGTCACCTGTTGCCATGACATCCCACATCATGAAGGTTCTAGAGAGACTTCTGTTAGTTACGTATCACGTCCCCCTGCAGTTTGATTATCCCTTTGGAGTTGGAGCTGATGATGCCATCAAACACCTGCTTCAACCAACCCACTGTCATCCAGACAAGGCAGAAAACACTGTGAGGATCATGTTCTTTGATTTCGCCAGAACATTTAATAACATTCAGCCGGACTTACTAAACTTCAGAAGACTTACTAAACTTCTGGGCTGAGATTAACACTCGCAAAATACGACTAAATGTTTTATTTGGTGCGTTAATCCCAGACGGCCAGTAAATGTTTGGAGCCTCTGTCAGATCATTTTATCTTTTATTTTGAGAGTCTCTCCTCTGTCCCTTTGTTCATCTGCTGTCTGCTCCTCACACGCCGATGGCTCCAACTACATCCAGAGAGAAGAATCAGTGATTGAACAACTACTCCACGAAGCAGCCTGTGGCAGTACACAGTTGGAGCCATCAAGCCTTCTAACAGACAACTTGCTGATAAGGAGATGGATGAGCAAGGATCTAAAGCCCCCAGGAAGAAGAGAAAGTTTACTGGAAAATGGTGCTTTAATTAACCGACAGGATTAACTACTGGCCTTTATGAAAGTGGAGAGCATCCATGACCAGAAACGCGGTAAATGCCACATTCTCTTTACATCCATGTCTCAGGCTCAGTATAAACTGATGTTAAAAAACAAAGACAAAATTGCAAAATAGCTATCCTCTTATCACTTTGCATGGGTCAGAGATAAAAAGGGTTCAATCTTTTAAATATTTAGGAATTTTAATTGATGAAAGTTTAAATTTTAAATCTCATGTTGAACAATTGATTAAGAAACTCAGACTGAAAATTTGCTTCTTCTTCAGGAATAGGCTTTGTTTCTCTTTTAACTCGTAGAAAAGACTGGTAGCTGCAACGTTTTTACCCATTCTGGACTATGGTGACCCAATCTATATCAATGCCCCAGATCAAGTTCTAAAAATGTTAGACTATATTTACCATGCCCCTCACGATTTATCACAAATTGTAAGCCTCGCACACACCACTGTAAACTTTACATACGTGTGGGCTGGCCAGCATTAGAGGCTCGTAGACTCATTCACTGGTATATGATGATTTATAAGGGTATTCTGCGTCTGCTCCCCTCATACCTCTGTGAGTACATTCAACCAAGAGCGCCTGGGCTGTATTCTCTACGTTCTCAAGAGTCTTTGCTTCTGTCTGTACCTAGTGTTCGCACTGAAGCTGGAAAGACAGCTTTTCAGTACTCTGCCCCCACAGCATGGAACAATCGTCAGAAAGACTGGCAGCTGAAGGACATTTTAAACGATTTCTCAAAAGTTTGGAAATGAGATCTATGGTTTGTAACTGTTTTATGAATTTCTAATTATAAATAGATGTAATTGTAAACTGTAATGTAATTTGTAATGTAATCTTTTGCCACTGTCTTGGCCAGGACTCCCTTGAAAAAGAGATTGTTAATCTCAATGGGACTTTTCCTGGTTAAATAAAGGAATAATAATAATAAACAATTCAAAAACACAGCCTGGCTACATCAACACACACACACAAAGATGAACATACTGCTAGCATGTGGATGTTTCATGAATCAATGCATTTTAAGAGCGTCCGCTGGTCCCTGTGTTTATTGTTGTACCTTTAATGTTGGAGACGTCAATGTTGAGCTGGGTCAGTTTTTCACATGTGCGCTCCATGCACTCGTAGACGGACTGGAGTATTTCTTTGGGGTCTTCCTCCACCCATCTAAACACCACATTAAAGGGTAGGAAGGAAAAAAAGGTGATAAAGTCTAAACAAACAGTTTTTATGGATAACATCAAGAAGCAGGTGAGACAGATCTCTTACCCTTCCTTTGGGAAACTCTGTTTTATTTCCACCTGATGGTGACTGAGGAGCTCCGCAGTTTTGGAATTAAAAACCTAAAAATGAAACAGCAAAAGAGCCTCTTTATAATGAGTTATATTCCCTTTACAGCTGTTTTTTTTAATCACGGTGACCAGACGTCCCCGATTTCCAGGGACGGTCCCCATATTAGACCACCTGTCCCTGGAAATGTCCCCGATTTTACTGCTTTATGAATGATGGGTGAAATGTTGCGTTGTAGACTTTTACAGCAGCTGATGGGAAGCTGCCCATGGTGTGTTATTTGGTTCATTTGATTTAGATTGAACTGATCATTGTGATAAATGTTTGGTTCGTGCCAAGCTAATATAACAACACAACACCAGGGGCGTGCAGGTGGCGCAGTGGTTAGCCTGCACAACGAATGTATGGAGGGCTTAGTCCTTGATGCGGGTGAGCCGGGTTCGAATCTGGCTTCTGTCCTTTCCCGCATGTCTCTCCCTCTCCCTCATACCGCCAACAAAGTTTTAGAAGGGACTGTTTAGAATAGTGGAAAACTGATAGAAGAGGAGAGAGGAAGAAGTTAGTTGGTAAAAATGAAAAAAGATTGAATGAGAGCCGAGAAACATCAAGTTAAAAAAGTAAAGCAGAGAGCAAGAGTCAGAGGAGGGCTGGAAAGAAAATGACCTCAGTAACCAGCTGGACACCTAATTAGCTTGTCCAGAAATGAAATAAGTTAACAAATGCCTGAAGTTCTGAAAGTAGTGGAGCTTTACATACATCCCATTAGTGGGAAAAATGTATCTGCCTCCCCAACACATTTGCCCCAATCCAAAGGCACAACTATTCATTCTATTAATCTTATGAAATAGTAATAGTCTAGAGAGGCACATTCCTGGCTTTTACAATTGATTTCTGTTGTTTAAATAGTAATACATATGTAAATGAGAGACTTCAGGTCTCAGTTTCCTAAACTTAGCCTTAAAGAAATGTATTTCTATTTATCCACGAGTCGGAAATGTCCCCAGATTTGATTTCAGAAATCTGGTCACCTTATTTTTAATACAACATAAAAATAATATGATCCTGCAATAAAAAAAAAATAAAAAAGGCTGTCATATGTTGATGCACTTTATACACTATATATCCCATGCACCTTTTTCTTCCTTTGGCACACTCTGCTCTTTGACTATTTCAGCTGATGTAACAAGTTTCTCCACTGTGAGATCAATAAAGTCAATCAATCATTCAATCAATGAAATAATACAAAATATAGGTAATAATGACTTGAGAGTCCAGAAGACATCATAAGGCGGCCGAGCAGATCTGATACCTACACTGGAGCAATAGCAGGCGGACAAGAGTGTGGCAAATTTAACAGAACCATTGAATTATAGCAGAAAATTCATTGTGCCAACACCCCCATGTTTTGTTTTTTTTTTACGCTGGAATTTACACCCAGGAGTGGCATCATAAACAATGATGATTATACAAACAAGCAGAGTTATTATTACTTTACAATGTAAGTGGTGGAATGACATTAGTGGTAGAGGTTCTCCTACATATGAAACCATTTTAATTGGAAGAATTAGCCTCCGATCTTTGGGAGATTCTCATGAACACTTTTAATAACAACTGTCCATGCTTCCTATACCGGATCATATGTCCAATCAGATCAAAGGATGTGTTGTAACCAGTTCCAGCTTTCTTTCAGTAAGCTGGTCTCGGATGGAGAAAGGGTGTATTGCAATAGTGGATATTCAATAAATCTGTTTATAGAAATGGATTAAACCACTGTGATTATTAATAGATCATTATCAACCAAATCCTAGGCTCATTTCTCTAGATATTTTTACAATGGAAATGATTGTGGTCACCACATTGTGTGTTTTTATGTATGAGTAACTGAGATTAAAACTCTGTTTTAGCTTTTTTTTTATTGTTTTTTTATTTTTCTCCATTTCAGTTTTTATCAGACCTACTCTGGCAATCTCTGGCACAAAAAAATGAAACATAAACACCGAATGATGTATGAATCTGTTCAGTTTTTGTTCAGTCAAGGGCATCGCCAACACTCTGAGTAACTCCCCCTCGGAGCTACGTCTGTCGGTCTTACCAGAAACCGAGTAGAGCTTGTTCCCTGGTCGATGGCAGCAACCAACGGGCCAAGCGTTATGCGGTGAGAGGACGCGGCCATGGGGCTGTTCATGGGCTGGAAACCCGATCAGGAGCACTGGTTCAGCTAAAGATGGGGCGTGACGGTCCAGCGAGCAGTTAGCCGCGGTTTGATGACGCAGGCGCCCAGCAGGCCCTTAGAAATTACGTAGCAATTACGCACACTTTTTTTTTTTTTTTACTATTTTATTAACAAAATAAAGTAAATACAGATATATTAAATAGACAAATAATATGTTTTATTTATATAATATAAATAAAATATAAGAACACAAGTGACTCAACAGACTAAGTCAGAAGGGAAGACAAAAATACAAAAATGGCGTTTACTCGACATGCGAGCACACGTCCAAATTTTATTTATAAAGCGTTTTTAAACACATGGCTAAACGTTTTCTAGAAGATAAAAACTAAAACCATGTGAATTTTGAAAAAATTGAACAAAAGAGTGATAGAAACTGATAAAAAAAATGAAAGAAATCTCAAGATAGAAACGATAAAATGGAATTAACTTGTTTGCCTGCGGCCATGAAATATTTAAAAAAGAATCCCCATCAAGATGAAACATGGACACTGGTTCTAATGCTTCCATTTATGTGTTTACTACGGTGTTTTGAATTCATGTTAATCTGTATCTAAAGACATTTTAATTAGTGGAAAAAATTGTAGAAAGGAATATATATAAAAAAATTAATTTTATCAACAAAAAGAAGCTTTCTCTCTCCGGTTTTTTCCTAAGAAGAGATCTCTCTTTTAATCACACTTCATAATGTATATGCATTAAATATGCATGAGACATGACAACAGATTTTGACAGAAATTGTAATCTTACTCAAATCAGAGATGTTGTTTAGGTGTAAATGTAAATGTGTGTAAATGAGGAAACACCCCATCACTCCAGCCATATCAAAGTTTTACAGTGTCCCAGATAAAAGTACAGAGAACTCACTGTTAAGAAAGGTCCACTATGGCTGTGGCCCAATTTTATTCCCAAATCTCTGTTATGTTCATAATAAACATACTTGCATATCTTGAGAGAAGAACTGTCCCTAATTTATAAATTGCTTGGGAAAACATCATTTTAAACACAAAGACATCAGTTTAGACACAAATAACAAGTATAAGAATTTGCTAAAGGCAAAAAGTAAAATGAAAGAAATTGCTATTACAAAATAAATATATCTAAAAAGAAACCCAAGCTATTATTTTATTATCATTGTTGTTATAAGAACTTCATTCAATTTAGAAATAGATGAAACACTAAGAAATGTGAACCAAAAACTTTCTTAAGAAAATTTTAATTGTGTTTCCTCTGTAAACGACAACCAATATATACAAACAAGCAAATTTGTAGACATCTGGATTTCTATCAGAGGTTAACATCTACCCCCAAACCTTCAAAATCAATAAAATATTGAATTTTGGTGGCCAATTAGAACGGTGAACAGTGATCTTGAAAATGTTGCTATGTTATTTGCTCTGCTGTTAAGGCCAATGTTTTGCTGTATGGCAAAGTGTATCACCCTACTTTACGGAATAATCTAAACCAGGGGTCACCAACATGGTACCCGCGGGCACCAAGGGGCCCTCAAGGACCACATGGAGTGCCCTTAGAGTCTTCTGAAAATAGAACGACTCAACAGTCAGCTATGTTTGAAATTTCACTGTATTCTGTTGCTCATCTTTTTTTAATTGGGTTATAGAACATTTCATCATTTGATCATATATGGCATTTAAGCATGTATAGAGATTTCAAAATGAAAATGTCAAAAAAAGAAAATTATAAATTTAAGAAACTATAAAGATATGTTTATGATGTATGAATTTTAGAAGAACGTTGACCCTTGCAATTCATAGGTCAGTATTGGTAGCCCTTCCTGTGACTCAGTACCCCTGAAATAGCCCTCAACTGTAAAAAGGTTGGTGACCGCGGATCTAAACAATGATTTCATCTTCAACTGAAGATCAATGTCATAAAATAAGCAAAAGAGAGTTCCCATACCGGGAGTCGAACCCGGGCCGCCTGGGTGAAAACCAGGAATCCTAACCGCTAGACCATATGGGAGATACAAACGTGCGTGATCACGTGGTGTTATGTAGTAAGGTAGTATGGATCTATGTGTAACATATTAAAGGATTAAGGATTCAATGATAAAACTCACCTCATTTTTATACATTTATATTTTGTCTTCTTTAAAACTTTACGGAGTATTTATATTTTTATTTTATTTTTTTTATTTATTTGCTTGAGCGAATTTCGGTTTGGCGACACTTGATGATGTAATCATTAGAGGACAGTGTTGTAGTTACAGTAATGTGAAAAGTAGTTGTCTGCATACGTTTTATGAATCGGTTTCTTTTTATTTTGACCAAGTGGATCTAACATGTACGTAACTAATACTCTCTTGGGTTTTAATTATGCGTTTTTGACGCCGGGAGCCAAGAAATATTAACGTGAAATAATGTATATCACGTTAGCAACGAAGGCTAAAGGTAAAATGTTTTCTTCTTTGAGTCATTTTATGTATTTTACAGGGCGGATTATTGGAAGTCACAACCAAGGAAATTCTGCCAGTATTGCAAGTGCTGGATTGCTGACAACAAACCTGTGAGTATTGCTGTTTCCACCCATCATTACGTACTTTAAGGTTATGCAAGCTAACGTTTATAATATTTCAACTGCAGAGCATCGAGTTCCATGAAAGAGGGAAGAATCACAAAGAAAATGTGGCTGCTAAAATTTCAGAGGTATGTAGTCAGTAAACGATAAATTAACTAACACTAATCAAATGACCTAGAAGGCCACAGTTAGGAAAAAAGAAAGAAAGTGGTGTGCATTTATGGTGAGCAGGTTGATCCAAAATATCAATGATATCGGTATAAAATAAGTATTAGATTAATACCTTCCTGGTGAATCGAGGCTTTAAATTCAGAATCACTTTTTAAAGCAGCACTGCTGTTTTGTCAAAAATACCACAGTCAGATTGTGGTTTTGTCTCAGTCTTGGGTGGGAAGAAGCACAATCCCCACTGTTCTTTCCATTTATGGTACTAAAGTTGTAATGTATTCTTTCCTGCACAGACGAAAAAACAAACACTGGAATTTGAGAATTTGAATTCAAAGTAGGGATGGACCGATACATCTGCGGACCCATATTTTTCAGCCTTATTAGCATTTTTTCTTGTGTTTGTATCGGATGTTTAATCCACTGCATTGTAAATGATACTTTTATTTTTTATTCCTTTTAAAACCTTTTTTTTTTTTTCTCAAGTTTTATTTTTAAAAATTTTTACTTTTGATTATTTTGCACTTGAAGCCCAGTTCAAAAACTCGCTCTTGATTCCTACTTTGACCAATCAAAATATTGTTGCAAACATCCATGCAGATGCTCCATCCATGCAGACGCTCCAGCAGAAAGCTCCCTCAGAAGGAAACAGAATGTGAAGTGGAAAATGCCAAATGAAAAGAGTGCAATTCCACGAAGTCCATCTGAAAAAGAAAAATTGCACAATACAAAATCTGATAAAAACAGAATTTATTTCAAGCTTCTATTTACAAAATGTTTTTTTCTTATATTTCCTTGAACAAAATGTGTTTTTGTTTGCAACAACAATGGAACAAAATTCACTCTCGTAGTTAAAAGCCTGTGTTTCAGGGATTCATTTTTTAATCTGTTGATGCTGCTGTGGCAATTGCAAATGAAATGAATATTAAGTCAACAGTAGATATTGTTACAGGAAGTTCTTTACCTTGCTGAAACGCAAACACGCGACCTTCTCTAAGTAGGTTGCGTGTTTGCAACTTCATCGGTTGTGTTCTCTCTTTCTTCTCATTGGCTTTTTTTAACTAAAATGAACCAAAATCATGTATAGACCTGATAGAGTGGGATTAATTTTGCACCAAACATAACAACAACAACATAACAGCTGATCTAAAGGAATTAGTGCCTCATTAGGACTGGTGTGAGAGATAAGCAGCAGGCTTCCACATCAAGACTCTAGAGCTCTGCTGCTATTGGCTGACCAGCTTCTGGCTCTCGTCATTTTGTAATTCTGTCTGCAGATTAAGAAAAAGAGCATTCAAAATGCTAAGAACGAGGAGCGGATGTGCAAACAGTTTGCAGCGATGGAGGAGGCAGCACTGAAGGCGTACGAGGAAGATCTGAAGCGGATGGAGAGGGAGTCGCAAGGTAATCCTGATGGCCTTTTAGCAGAAGTGCTGTCTGATTCTATTCATTCAAGCCACTTTTCTGTGTGTAGGGTTAAGTTCTCCGGTCCAAGCAGCCCCAAAGCCGCTGCCTAAACCTCAGGTGATATTTCAGCCCAAAAACAAACAAAAGAAATCGGGGAAGGCGAGCAGGAAATCTAAAGAGCCAACACCAGTGCAGGTCTGGGTGGAAGGCAAGACAGATGATGGACACACTTACTACTACAACACAGTAACAGGAGGTGAGGTCATCTGATGCACCAGATCTAGAATGTAGAATCTGTTCCACCTCATTTCTGTGTTTTTGTCGTTTTGCAGAGTCTCAGTGGGAAAAACCAGGAGATATTCAGGGGGAACGATCAGCTTCTGCACAGTTTCAGGAGTCTGGGGTAAATCTGTTCTTCAGGTTCTGTTTTCTGTCCTCACTTTAAAGTTCTAAAATTGTTTTTTTCCTCCAGAGTTCCTCAGGTTCTCCTTGGATGGAAGCTGTAAGTCCCGAAGGTTACACGTACTACTATAACACCAGAACAGGAGGTGAGCTTCTTCCCGCTTCAGCCAGATTTGCTTCAGGGTTTTAATTATAGATATTGACCATGTCTGTAATGTGCTTCAACTCTTAGAATCCAGCTGGGAGAAACCAGCCGACTTTCCCTCCAGCGAGGAAGCGAAGATCAACCAACCGGAAAGCGAAGGAGAGCCTCCAGCTTCTCAGCCGGAGGCGTCGACTGGAGGAGAGGAGAGCTCCGATAAGGAGGCGCAACCTGGTGAATTGGAACAGAAGCCCCAAACCCCTAAAATCAACTTCAGAGTAAGACACTCCTGCAAGATGAACACAAATAGATGCTCAAATCAATAAAAAAAAAAAAAAAAAGTTCCAACTTCTTTTTTGTCTTTAGAAAAGAAAACCAGAAGCCGAACCTTCGGAAACTGAAGAAAAAGTGACAGAAGTTCCAAAAGAGGAAAAGATGGAGACAAAAACGGAGGAGGCCAAGAGCTCAGAAACCAAACCAGAAGAAGTGGTGACAGCAGAAAGACCACAAATTAGGAGGCGAAAAGCAGCCAATCCGTACGGAGCTTGGGAAAAAATCAAGCAGGAAAAGGATCCATTGTAAGTTTTCCAAACTTTAATAAAGAATGGAGAAGCTGAAATGAGAGTACATCTGGCTTCTTTCTTCTCTTTCCCAGCGCCAACGTGGACTTACAGCTGCCCCAGACGGAGGAGAGCGCGGCCGCTGCTCTGCCCGAGCTCCCACCAGAGCCCAAGCCCAAGTTCAAGGAGCGAATCATCACCTCGCTAGGAGAAGAGGGCGGACCTGCATCATTCAGGAAGAACAAGACCCAGAACGGAAAATCTAGGAGCCTCCGGCAGAGGGAGGACGAAGACTGACAGAACATGTGGAAGCCTCCTGATGAACTATCTTTCCAAAATGTATCACGGATTTGGCCAAATTTAAAATGTTTTTTTCTTGTATTAAAATCTTAATTTTCAGGTCTGTTTTTTTTGTAAAGATCTACAACTCTTTCAAATGTGTTCTTTTTTCTACTAATTTGAGTGAAAGAATAAAATACAGCTGTTCATTTAAGGTTAGTTGGCTTCTTGGCACAAATCAGCGGGCGTGACGTGGAAAGCGTCTGTGTGAAGCAGATAGGGTTTTTTTTTTTTCACCGCACCCTGCTCTGGTGTGGCAGCTTATGAGCCGTCCGTCCTGTTCAGTCAAATTATTCATCTACAGTCAGGGTTAGAAAGCTCTGCTTTATTGAATAAATAAAAAAGACGATTGCACAACAATAGCAGCATGGATGTCGTAATGGGATGGAGAGATGTTTCCATCAGTCTGCTGGCCGTCCTGAAGCACGCACACTAGTCTCCACCAGCTCCAGGAGAGCCTCCTGCTCAGAGCGTTCCAGTAGGTCTAAGATCAACTCTTCCAGCTCTTTGCCTCCTTTCATGAACTCCTGAGCACAAAAAACAATCAGAAGGTTTACTTCAACAAAATGTATAAAATAAATAAAGAAACCTAAATACATATATAGGTGAAGTCTAGTAGAGATGGAGCAATCCATCAAACAGCAGATATTAGCCTTTGTTTTCATGTTTCAGCATTGGCTGATTCACTAGTGCCCCCACTTGGTGGCACAGTGTAACTACAGAGGGGCGTGGGAGAGATGAAGTCAATAAATGACCCAGTTTGGAGTTTATTTATATACTAGTAGATTTTTTTTTTTGATTAATTGATTGATAATTAGATATGAAAAGATTACTAGAAGAGTTTTTGCAGAATTAAACCAGGTGAAAGTAAAACCTTTCCGCTTGTGAGTTCTGATATAACTCAGAAGGAAAAAAAGTTGTCATGGTGACTTGTCGAATGGGTGCTCCACTGAAAATGGCTTTTCATATTTGTTGCTCACGTGCAAAACTCTGTGTGGTTCTACTAGGAGTTGACTGAACTATTTCATAGCAGCTGTCATGAACTCAAAAATTCAGATTTCTAGATCAATTCAGAGTTGCGGCTTTGAATCTGAGTTTGTTAATCCTACTTTGTGAAACGGACCCCAGATGCGATCTCACCTTGATGTCTCTGGCAGTGTATCCTGTCCGGTGGTCGGTGACCCGATCCTGACTGAAGTTGTAGGTGCGAATCCTCTCTGCCTGGCTGCGTGTGCCCACCTTGTTCAAGGAGAGACAGTCCAAACATGAACATCTTAAATACTTTACTCTCATCTACTCATTTATTTCACTGAAAATATACTTTATTAGACTTAAGTAATAATATATAACTTTTCACACATTAAATGTTTCAGTGTCCAGTTCTGTTTTATCATTTTAAAATTTTTAAATTGTTGAAACAATGATCTTTCCGGCTCCGTTTCCATTTATTTTCTTTACCACTGTATCTGGCTAATGCCAAACATGTTCTGATGTATAAATGACTCAGTTTTAGTCTCATCTTTTCAATGAACGTTGCTGCCAAGGTCCTGATGTTGTTCTATGCTTTGTATAAAAGAAATTAGCCTTGTCCTCATGTTTTTTCTCAAATTTGATTAAAAGTTGACATTTATGAAGGTAGGTTTGTTTATTATTCAATCAAAAAAGGTTGCTTCAATCAAAAAATATATTTTCAATTAAAAAAAATCTTCACTTCAATGAAAAAAAAATAACTTTTCAATCAAAGAAAAAAAGTATTTGAATGCAAAAATATATTTGAGACTCAAAAAAAATACATTTGAACACTGCTTTTCTTTGATTGAAAATGTTTTATTTGATAGAAGTCCACTCTTTTTTGTTTAAAGCAACTTTTTTAGTTGAAGTAACATTGTATTTTGATTGGACCATATAATGGGTAGGACATTTGTGTCCTTATTATTCAATCAAAAAAGAAGTTGCTTCAAACAAACAAACAACAGAAACAATAAAAATAGTAACTTCAATGAAAAGATAAACCTTTTCCATCATAGAAAATAGTTTTTGAATGCAAATTAAATATTTGAGACTCAAAAAATTGCATTTGAACACTTTTTTTAATTGTTGAAAATGTTCTCCTCGAGCGCCACACCATGGCACCCCACTGCTCCCCAAGGGGATGGGTTAAATGTAGAGAATGTATTTCATTGCTCTGTACTTGTGACAGTGTAATGACAATAAAAGCTGAAAAAAATAAAATAACTGATGGATTTAAACTTGCATATCACCCTCCTCTCAGTCACTTCCTCCACAGAGTCCAGAGTGCAGCCCATAAAAGGAAGGGAGGAGCATTTAGTCATGCTAGGGACAAATTCAAGGTTTCATGTATTAAATGTACATGCATTCATTTGTATTTATCTTTTTCTCTCTTTTTATTTTCTCTCTTTCATCTTTTGCACACTTAAGACTAATTTTTAAGGAAGAGTCTCCATTTTCTAGGAGTCTCATAAAAGTGGGAATATGTTTACACCTGTTTTTGAGGGGGGATCATGTTGACGGGTTATGTCATATTTGTTTATTTAAAAGTTAACGAAACTTTGAAATTACTTTCAAACAATTTTATGAGGGTCAGACACATCACAACTACTTTTGTATGCCCAATATGTACTTTTTTTTATTTTCATTATATTCTGAATGGCCAATAATTCTTTTGTTAAGGTTGTGTCCTGGAACATTAATGGATGGGGAAATCCTGTGAAACGGATGAAGGTGCTTCCATATCTACAACTGCAACAAACAGACATAGCGTTTATCCAAGAAACGTCATACACACTCCGTTTAAAAAAAAAAATATATATATATATATATATATGGGGATGTCTGGGGGACAGTGATTCACCTAAATGTTATGAATGCTGGCGAACCATAAATGATAAATTATCAACAGTTTAGTTTGTGCCTTTAACTCGTTGCCCATAGGAAGACATTACTTGGATATAACCTGGATATAACAGAATATCTTCGGAACTCCAAATGACACAAAACTCATATGGGTGAGTAGAAGAAGAAGAAGTTGACTCTCTAGGACACACCCCCTCCTCATTTGCATAACGAGGCAGAAATGCATACAGAAATATAAAAAGGGCAGGCAGACAGACAAAAATATAATAATAAATTCAATTTATTGTCATTACACTGTCAGAGGTACAGAGCAACAAAATGAGCTCTCTGCATTTTAGGGGGCTGCCATTTTGCAGCGCCTGTGGAGCTAGGGGTCTTGCTCAGGGAGCCAGAGTGGCAGTCTGTGGGAGTGGGGGATCAAACTCACAACCTCAGGATTCAAAGCCCTGTACCCTAACCACTTGGCCACCACTCACAGTATAACTTTCACATAAATAAATACTGAAAAATAGAAGTAATTAAAAAATAAAGTTGAAGATTATAAAGGACAAAAAAATAAAGGTAAATATTACAAATCAAATAAATAAAGAAGCTAATTAAAAGAGTTATATACATTTATGTCTCACTATATGATTTAATTTCTATTTACATTTATTTGTTTATTGGATTTTTGGTGGCAATAAATTGTATGCTTATTTATTTATTGAGCATTTATTTATTTCTGTATTAATTATTAAATATGGCAGAGTTGGTCCTCCATACGTCCTGCCCAGGGACTACAGATAAAATTAGCCTCTTTGTCGTTTTTATGCTCTGTAAAACAAATAAAAATGAAAATACTTTTTTTAATGTTAAACCTTACCTGCTGCTTCCGTGCGGAGAGTCTCTGCTCTGTCTCTTTACCGATCATGCTCTGGTAGAGCCTGGCCCTCAGTACTCGCATGGCTGTGTCTCTATTCTGCAACTGCGATCGAGTCTGCTGGCACTCAGATATTATTCCTGTGTGGACGAACATGTTTTCGTGTCATGAAAGTCTGAATGGAGTCTTAAAATCATCTCTGCTAGTCCGGACCTGTGGGAAGATGAACTATCCGCACGGCGCTGTCCGTGGTGTTAACACCCTGACCCCCAGGTCCTCGTGATCTGAATGTGTCAATTCGCAGATCCTTTGGGTCGATGTGGACGTCAAACTACAGAGAGACAATGAAGGTAATAACAAAAACCAGAAGAGAGAAAAACAAGACACTGAAAAGACCAGCTTACCTCGGCTGGCTGCGGCAAGATGATGACTGTCATTGTTCCTGTGTGGATGCGCTGCATCCTGGATGACAGGCCGACCTCAGGGATCCTTTGCACCCTGTGCGTTCCTCCTTCATGTTTCAGGTGTCTGTAGACTTTCTCCCCAGCTATCCTGATTGCTGCATGGTGCAGTCCACCTAGAGGAATAAAGATGTGTTACTATTGTGCATCTGAGCACAATCATTTATGAACTAGAGGAGTTTGAGAAGGTTTTTTTTTATCCACATTCATGCATCTTAAAAGGCTTGAAGATGCATTTCAACAGCAAAAAGTTAATGATAAGAAAAACATAGTTAATAAATATGTAATGCATATATAAAATGCATTTTGATATTACCTGCAAAGCTGCAGCTCAGAAATATGGGTAGAACTTGCTGGCCTTACAACGCACACTGACTGTTCCTTTTACTTCATATCGTTTGCCCAGTTTTTACATTCAATCCATCAGTTTATCTGTTGCTAATCTACAGACACACATCTGTAACCCTTAAATCGATTGACAGTGATTGATACACTGCCCAATCAGAAGGGAGCTTGCTGTATTGCGCTAAAATACACAGTTTCTACTACGGTAATTGTATCAACGTCAAATCGTCCAAGGCAGTTATATAGACCTGTAGGAAAACTGCAGTCGGTACAAATATTAACAAGATTGTTTTTCTCAACAGATCCAGAGGGCAGCAGACTTCTGCTCTGCATTTATTTCTATATATATTCACAAACTAAATCATGAATACAAATCATTTCTAGAGCTTCAAAAAACAGGAAGAAAATAACAAAGTGACTGGTGCAAAACGATCCTATAAAAAAAATAAAAAAAAAAAAAAAAAAAAAAAAAAAAAAAATATATATATATATATATATATATATATATATATATATATATATATATATATATATATATTTGGTTGCAGAGCCTACCGTAGTCTGCAGCTGAATAGTTGAGAACCTCAAAGTCCCAGTTCTTGAAAAAGGCAAAGCCTCGGTACATGTCAAACATTTCCCTGGTGAACTGCTGGCAGATGTCACCTGAAACAGAGTCACACAGATTCATCTCCTGAAAGTCAAGTAATCGCTTTTCATTTTCATATGTCTTTGTAATTTTAAATATTATGATTGGTATTGATCTCCCCCAGTTTGTTGCTAAAGAAAAAAAATAAAATAAAAACTAAAACTTAGCAGCTCAGAAGGAATCGGGATATAAGCCAAGGCAAATAGTCTTGCTTTCTTTCCTACCTCCTGTCGTTCGTCCTGAAACGACCTCAAGCACAACATCACTTGAATCAAGAGGGTCAGCAGGCACCAGAGCTTCGATCAGCTGAAGAGGAAAATAGCATTAAGTACTTTTTGTTTATCTTTGTAGAGGTTGAACAGTTGGTTAAAGTCAAAAGGCATTTTTGGAACTTGTAAGACTGGTCTTATTTAAGGATCTATTCTGGGTATCCTACCCTTTATTCTAATGTTAGCTTTTGGTCCTATGCTTAAAAGAGACACAACATCACATTCTGACTTAGGTACTGTTAATCAGACAGACTCCTTCATTCTAAACAGGTGAAATCTGGTTAACTTGGTCTAAATGTTCAGTCTACAGTAATCCAGTTGAGCTTTTCCTGTCATATTCTTAACTCCATGTGCTCTATAAAAACAATGCATGGATAAGTGTGATCAGTGACACCAGAGCTCTGTAGATGTTTACACGTCACTCACATGTTTTTTTAAGGCCACAATGTTGCTGCAGATCTGTGCCTCCTCCTCTTTGAGCAGCTGGATCAGGTGCTTATCTTCACATGTAGGATCAGCTGAGTAATAACAGGTTTATGATAAGCATACCACACGGCAACATCATGAATAATAATAATAATACATTTTATTTAACAGCGCCTTTCTTGACACTCAAGGTCACTTTACAAATAATACAAAAAAAAATAAATAAAAAGAGATGAAAATACAAAATACAGATACAGGAACATAAAAAACAAAAAAAACAATCATGGATAGGGAAAAGAGCAGTATATTCACAGATAAGCGAGCTGGAACAGATGGGTTTTGAGTCTGGCTTTGAATAAGGGGAGAGAGTCAATAATGAATGCAAAATGTTTAAATCGCTACTCACTGTGTAGCAGGGAAAGGACTTCTTCCAAGTCTTTGTGGGCTTGTCCAATGCTGCCAAACAACTCAACAAGAGGCAGCAGCTCTGAGTGCTTCTTCTGCAGGGCTTTCCTGTCTGAATCACTCACATGTTCGTGGTGTAACTTTCTGCTAATTACTCCATGTTCCTCAATCATTTTCTGCAAATACATCTGAACCGAGATGTTGTTGTATAAATCAACTGGATCAGAATGGGATAGTCGTTTTGGAGCTATGGTGCCCCAGGTGGAATATATTAGCCTGCTGCGTCCCTTCCTATGTCTCCACGCTAAGCCAGTGGGTAAAACTATCCGGCTACACTGGGAGCACAGTCCAAACCAGCGAGGAAAAAACATTTAGTACTTTTTTTTATGGGCGAGTGAAGAATTAAAGTCAGTCGGAAAGGGAGAACGTTACCTTGGACGAGAAACCGGAAGTGGTTTTACGGTTAAAAAAAAAAAGCAACACACAAAAGAGAACAGAAGTCTGGGAAATGTAGTTTTACTTCTGGATGACGTCGGTGGATTTTTATTTTTTTTTTGTGCTAACAGCCTTTTTACCATAAATTCGGGTTCGTCTGACCATCCATAATTACGTTCCAGATATCTTAAAATACATTTTGACTACACAAAACCACATTTTGACTATCCGGAATAATAATTTAAGATATCTGTCTTTACATTCTGATTAGGAAGCATAATAATTCAAGATATCTTAAATTACATTTTGACTAGTCAAAATTCCTTCCACGATATCTCAAATTACGACAGTGGATTATTCATTTAAAGCGTCACATATCTGTAGGGCCACTGAAAATAACAGTAAATGGGCCTAATTTAACATTTCCTCCTGTAAGGAAGGACAAGTAAGGATTTTTTTTAGAAATGATCCTTCTGGAAGACCATTAAAAAGATCATTATAAACTTATGGCAAGCCATATAAACTGCATATCTCCTATCCTAAAATACATTTAAGATATCATGAATTATGGTGGCATTTGAGATATCTTTAATGAGAATTATGACTAGTCAAAACTAAACTCGAGATATCTTGAAATTACTTTATGACTAGTCGTAATTTAATCGTAGATATCTGAAATGTGTATTTCATTTAGTCATTCTAGATATCTTAAATTGACGTCTACATAAAAGTTAATGGTAAATCTGACGTCATTTCGACTAGTCAGAATGTAATTAGAGATATCCAAAATAGGTATTTTGACTTGTCAAAATATAATTAGTGATATCTTAAATCGCTAAAACGTCTAGTCATAAAACTATTTGATAAATCTTGAATGGAAAGGCGGTACAACCGAATTTATGTTAAAATGGCTTGCCATAAATTTTTTATTTGAAGAGCGAATGAAACGTGTATAGCGAGTATGGCAAGCCGTTTTAACATAAATAAAGAAGCTAACCAGGTGACATAAAAACCTTGCAAGTCTACTTGCCTAAAATGTCCGAATTCGTTGACAACAAAGGTTAGGATTCACAAAACTACGAATGTAAACATAACAGGACTCAGAAACCTTTGTTATTTTTGTTATTAGAAGGTGAAAATCAAAATATTAAATACTACCTTTTGTCTCAATTATAGGTTAGCAAACTAGCTGGCTAATTCTTTCTGTGTTAGCTTAAAAATCAACAAGTTTCTAATGTGTATTTGTGGTAGACTTCAGACTAAGTGTGTAATTTTTAGGTTTAAAAGTTTTTCTGTCTGTCTACCTATCTATCTACCGAGACAGTGTTCATTGATTAAATTTAAATTGCTAATGTAATTTAACTGAGTTGAAGCTTTAGGTGAATTTTTTGTGTGTTCCTGCGAGTTACCAAAAGATAAACTGGCAATTGGTGAGGTTTCTTGCAAAAGCACAACTCAAATAATTTAAAATATTTATTAAGGACTCAAAGTTTGGGCCAGTTTTTAGGGAAAAGAAACATTGCAATGACAGTTAAGCATACTTACGCTTAGAAATAGACAAACTTTATTTTCATGAAAAAAGAAATTTCCTTTTGTACAGCTCTGGTGACATTTTAGTTTCTTAAAGTGCAGCAGTGATCAAATGTAAACATTGTGGGAGAAAAAACACATGGTGCGAAAAAATCAAATTGATATGGTCAGTTTGATGCAGAGTTTTTAACATGGTTTAGAGTTTTTTTTTTTTAACATTCAGCTGTCTGATGGCGGTGGGAAGAAGTTTTTTTGGAATCTGCTGCACCTACATTGAATTGAATGCTGAGAAGCCTCTTCCCAGAAGGCAGCAGGGCAGCTAGCTCCACTGGTATACTGGTTTGTATACCAGTTTGGTATACGAACATCAAAATCAAATTCTTGAGATGTTTATTAGATTAGACGTGTATTAGACTGAATGACTGGAACTAGGCTACATAAGAAATTACAGTATGACATGACTTTGTCATGAAAAGAGGCGTTTTACACATGTGACTGCATCCTACATGGGAAATATAAATGAAAAAACATGAGATGTTGATCTATTAGAAAAAGTTCTATTGATTAATTGTTTTATGCATTTGTATTATATCTGTTAAGTCTTTCAGGAGGCAGTGAAGGATGTCAGTCAGCAGAATTACACCAAGATACAAACCCTGAAAGAGAAACAGCTGGTAATAAAATCAATGCAGGTAAATTATTTACTTTACATATTTAAAAATATGTCCTAGTATTTTTATGAAATAGAACTTCACTATTTCTCAAGGATGCCAATTATTCTATTTAGTAAAGATCTGAATGTTTTGGATTGATCAGGTGCATTTCTGTTAAAGGAAACTCTGGCAGATGTTAAGAAGAAATGTCAGCATGCAAAGCAGGAGGTAAAGTCTAAATCAAGAGAAATCCAGCTGCTGGAAGGTCAGATGGACCATTTGGAGAGGCAACGGAAGGTCCTACATGATCGCTGTGCTTCCATTAACAAGGGAAACATAGAGCTGCAGATGTATATACAAGAGGAGGTGGAGGATGCCCAATTAACACTTGGAAAATTCAGCATGTACAGGGAAAAGATGAAAGGTCACAGAAACGCCGTCTTGCAGGCTGCGTGCCAGACGGAGACCCACAGAGAACTGGAGGAGAAAAAAATGCTGGTCTGGAAACTGAAGCAGGAGAAAGAGCAGTTAAGGGAGGATTTGGAAAACCCAAACGGGAATGTGCTGCAGACTGCTAAGGTTTGAAAATACTAAGAATAACAATTCAACTGGGTTTGGTCTTGATCTTTTAAATGTTCTTATGTGCAGGGGGAAACTGATTCCCTGAAGAGGGAGATCTCTGAAAGAAGTTTGGCTGTTGCTGCAATGACTCACCAACTGAAGAAAGAGCTTGACACTAATGTCAAGTTAAAGAAAGACATAGAGGTATAGAAAAGTAATTAAATATTGCCCTAGATCTGCCATGTGTCCTACACACACGTATTGGTAGTAACAACATGACATTTACATTTTGTTTCTATTTCCAAATAATGCTAACCCTGTATGTCATTATAGGCTTTGACTGCTAGAGGATAGGGACCACTTTACATCATTATTCTTCATTCTATCTCTATCCTTCAATTGTGGAGTATTTGTTTGTTAACCACCAAACTTAATGTTCTCTCTGCCATTTCCGTCTTAGTAGCTTTGTCTGTTTTTTTCCTGTTAGGGAGTGACAACATCTAGGCGTACAACTATCTTCTTTCTAACGGGTATGCAGAAACATTATAGGTGTGAGCATATGTTTGCATGGTTGCATGTCGCTCTGACAGACTGGCAACCTGTCCGTGGTTTATCCCACTTTTTTCCCCATAAACTGCTGGAGATAGGCACCAGCCCCTCCGTGACCCTAATAGATAAGAAGAAGATGGGTGAAAGGATGTTATCTTTGTTGGACATCAGTTACAAACTGTATGCTGCATCTAATCATAGTTATCAGAGACACCACAGTCACACCTTAGTGTTATATCTGAGTGACAACAGTTAAATCCTGAATCCTAAGTTCAGTGATTCAACTGTTTTACTGTTTGATTAATCATAAATCACTGTACAAATAAAATAACCAAACAGAAGTCCCTTAATTTTGCATGTCAAAATCTGTTGCAAAATACAGATCCCTACTGGAGACCTGGAACAAAGCAACACTTTTTTTCATTATGTCAATCTTTTTCTTCTTGTCATCATATGGCATGAGTTCCAACAGCCCAATTCATTCCCCACTTCCCTTGCATTTACATAGAAACGCATGCAGGGAAGGGGAAGATAGGGGGAGAGTTGAAGGAGCGAAAGGCACATATTCAATGATGTGCCTCTGTTATTGACCATGTCATGTAGAAAAACAGCTGTAAGGTGCTGAAATGGTTGACTAGGGATGAATGTCCGACCAATACCTTTGCTCCCCATCTAGGGCCGTTCCCCTATGTACCCCTATGTTTGAGTTTTCGTCAATGAGACAAGACTAAATAAAAATTGGCAGGTAGTCAGGCGTTTAAACTGCATTATTGTGCTGTAATCAGCTATGTGCAGCTATGTCCTGTTTGATCCTGCTGCACACTGTTGCAGATGCTGCAGGAGCACAGATGGATCATGGCAGCAGCGGCGGCAGGGTCTGAGAAAATAACCCGGAATAGTCCGGTACTGCTGGTTCAACTCTGCCAAACTCTGCCAAACTCAAGAAATGCGTCTTTGTGCGTGAAGCTCCGTGTCTGTGCTTCACACACCACTCTAATGGTTCGCTCTCAGCAGTATGACTCTAGTCTTCCATCGCTACTTAATAAACTATGTGGCTGAACATCCTCTACCAAGCGTAAAAAACCCTTTTGTCTAACTATCAAGATTTGATTTTATCTGGCTCAGAAGACGAGTTACTATCCATCCATGCACTTTCTGTCATGCTTATCCAAAGTGAGGTCATGAGGGGTCTCAGACCCTCCAGATGTCTTCGGGTGAGAGGCGGGGTACACCCTGGACAGGTCAGCAGTCCATTGCAGGGCAACAAAAAGACAAACAGGACAAACAACCATTCACACACACACTCACACCTAAGGAGAATTTTAGAGAAGCCAATTATCCTAACAGTCATGTTTTTGGACTGTGGGAGGAAACCAGAGTACCCGGAGATAACCCACACATGCTATGGGAGAACATGCAAACTCCATTCAGAAAGACCCTGGGCTGGGAATCGAAGACGGAACCTTCTTGCTTCAAGGCAGCAGTGTTATACACAGCGCCACTGAGCAGCTCAGGGGGATATTAAACATTCTTTCATTTCTACCTAAAGGAATCCCTAAGTTATATCCAAATACAATATTTCTTTGAATTCTGTTTATTTCTGGATAAAGAGCCCAATTAAAACGTAAATAGATATTTGAATATTTCTCTCTCATTGTTCTTCTTTCTATCTGTTTAAATATGATGTTAACGTTTCCTTGTATTGCCATTGAAAAATTTTTTCTGTTACGTTTAAATATTTCAACATCTTAGTTAACATATTTATTCAGTTTAGGTCTGGATTGCCATGGCATTACAAGGAAATTATGTAGGTTCAAAACCCTGTCAATTTAAAATCTATTTTTGACCCCTGAGCAGTAATAACCGAGGGGTAAATTATCAGAAATAAAGCCAAAATTTCCAAAGTAGAAAGAAGAATGCTTTTGTTATTTGGTTTTTTAAGGAGCAATGGAGATTGTATTGATCATTGGAATGCATAATTGATAGTAGATCAGGATCTTGTGTCTAAAACCATTCCTTTATTGTACTGTCTGTCTGCTATACTAACCAGTGTGATGTGTTGAACTAGATCTGCTATTTTCACAACTTTTGTGAGACACTTCAATAAAAAACACACTTATTTTAAGAAAAAATCCCTCTTTTAGAGTTTTTGTAGCATAGGCTCGGCTTTTACTGTCACTAACAGGAAACTTGCTCAGAGCTTACCTGCTTAGCTGATTCTTTTCTGGACTGAGCGATTGTAGATCTATATTACTATTACCTTTTCTAATATAGAAAGTATTTGTTGATCCATGCTTCCATGTTGCTTTGTCTTCTCAAACCCCCAGTCAGCCTCTGTAGAAGTTAACCCACACTGAACCTTGCTCCCTGGAGGTTTCTTTTTATCAAAAGGGAGGTTTTCCCTCTCCGCTGTAGAATTAACATCACAATGTAACAAGCTAGTTTTCCTAAGATAGAAAACATTTGAGGGGACGTGTTTTGGGAATTGGCACAATATAAATAAACTGAATTGAATTAAATTATTTTTGTCAAAAAGTAAACTCATCCAAGTTTGATATTTGTTTTCTTTTTTTTCTCTCCATCAGATCCAAAACAGGCGCCATGAAGCCATTGTGAAGCGTCTCCGCTGTCAACTCAGTAGAACTCAGGCTGTTCACAGGTAAAACAAATCCAGATCGATCTATTCTTATTCATCTAGGTGAATTCCCACTGCTTTCAATAACATGCTATAAATTTGCCTCTTTTCACAGGCAAACACTGGATGAAATCCTCCAACTGCAGCAGCAGCTAACTGAGCTTAAGGGCCAGCAGCATTCATCTGAGGATTGGTGATGGCTTAAATGTTGAATTATGCTTGTCCAGTCTGTTATTTTTATGTTAAAGAATAAGTTGACTTACTGTTTACATATAGGTTTGGCTTTATCTCAGTTGATGAACAGCAGGGGGCAGTACCCTCCAGTTAATACCTAGCTGGCACTTTTTTTTTAAAATCTTTTTGACTGACATGTTTTTTAGGATATATTAATGACTTCAATAAAATGTAGCTAAATACAACCCGAAATGTTAAATTATTTCCTTAGCTTTGTCAACATGGTTCAACAAAGAACTTATTAGGTAAAATTTTTTTCATTTTCAATGTGGATTAGTTGACATGTGCAGAGTGCTGGATTAACTGATCTCAGTTTAAGTGATGACAGAAAATCTGTTCATCCTGAACGGAGTTTGATGCACAGCAGAAGGCATGTGTCTACCGTGACTGACGAGACATTGAAGAGGTTTGTTTTGGAACACGATGTTTCAGCTTCTGCCTCACTGGGTGGCTTGATGAGTGCGAAGTGACAGCTCTACTGTCCCTCCAACCCAAGAAGAACAAAGAGACTGTTGAATCCAATTACTGTGCTTGTTCATTGTTAATTCAACTACTTCTTGACATTTTCAAGGAATGAGTTCACAGTGTTTTGGATTCAATAGGCTAGTCTGGAAAAAAGGTAAGTAAATATTGAATCAAACATGAACAGAAACCTTAAAAAATATATTTGAAACACATTTTTCTGGTCTGGAATCCTTCTAAGTAGACATAGTAATAAGTTTGGACGCACATCAACCCAACATGTCTTTGAATATTCGCCAAACTTTTACTGCATTCAAAAATAAAATGCTATAAAAACTAATTTATTCCATCAGCCTTTGATTGAACAAACATGAGATGACTGGACAATGAACTACAGAAAGCTAAAACTGAATTAAATGATTACAAATCTGCTAGGATTATATAGCATTAGATTAATAAATTGTCCA